GGTGAAATGCGTCCAAAAAGTCTGGAATCAAAGCTATAATTTGCTATAACAGTATGAAGCTAGGTAAAGTTCTGTCTGGACATAAAAAACTTAAGCTGATTATCATTCCTTTCAGTAAGTAGGTATTATACAATACGTAACATTCTTTTTTATGACTACATAACTAAATGTACTATAAATAATGTATAATATATAAATATGTAAGCTCAGGACCGGTTTGGTATAAATGAGTGACTCATGCCTGTGTCTGATTGTAAACAATGGCCGATATATCGTTCGCTTATTTCACGCAGTTTCACACGTTTACGGCAAATTTTCAACACTAACTACTGTTTATTGACAACTTCCTAGGGCAATTCAGTTTGTAATTGGGCTGAAACAGGGACTAACTGTAAATAACAGGCCGACAGTGTTTATGTTGAAAAAAAAACAAAGGTCGTGGAAATCTATTTATTCAAACAAACAAATAATCTAAAGTTTCCTCTTTATAATACAAAAAAACAATCTAAACCTTTTTTTGTTAATTCTAGCAGTATTCACTTCGTGATCCAGTAAATTTAAATCTGTATAATATTTCTTGTCTTGTTTCCTAAATTTCAAGCCAATTTTGATCATCATTAATTTCATCGATACACAAGAAAAGAGAGGTGGGACTTTCAGTGGTGTTGTAAAATTGTAAAATAAGCCTAAGTTATTGTAGGGTATTACACAAAAAGTGCTAAAAACTTTATTGGTATTATGCACATAACATCGGATTGGCTCGGTCGGCCGCACCCATATGCAAATGTCATCGGCAGCGTGTTTAATTTTCGCAATATTTTTAAGCAAATATAATCGCAGTTGTTTTGTAGGCGATACGTCAATACTTCTCAATGTTCTTAAATTCACAGCTTCAGTTCAATAGTGTTATTTCTCTACCGATGTTTTTTTGTTTTCTTTTTCTCTTTTTATTATTATTACTAGATATTGAATATAGGTTTTGCATCAATTTGGACTCACTGTCATAGCAGCGGACTCTTCTTTGAAGAATGGCTAGAGACACGCAGTGGCATCTTCACTTTTAGCCTGACGCATTTATCGGACACGGCAATTTCGGGAAGTACCTGTTTGGGATTCGAAGGGCCTCCTGGTGGACTCGGTGGAGCATACGGTGGCTAACCAGAGGGCAGCTCGCCTCCCGAACAGAACCACCACCAAGCGTACAGCGCTTAGCATTCTGCCTGAAAGAGCCATTAGACCACTTATGGGGCCTAATAAGGCTGATGTTCAGCCGTTGATGTAAATCAAGCATAATAATGTACCCCGGCCAAGGCCTGGAGCAGGAGTAGGAAAGAGTGGTTTAGTCAGTAAGGGTCTGACATTCCCTCTCGCTCCATCCAGGGCAAGAGCAACTTTTCCCCCTCAAAAATAAAACTGCGTCAGTTAATCGGGATTTAATAAGCAAATAATCTGGTGTCAGTTCTAACTGAGAATTTATATAGTGAACTATAAAAACAGTTTTTATGGGATAGGTCGGGAAAGAAGCTCACGGAACAACTGATGGTAAGCAAACGGCACCCCCATCCTTGTTTCACGCCAGTTTTCTTTTAGACGTTTGACATTATCACTCCAAATGAGCCGATCCATTTGTGCCAAGGCATGACTCTCCTACACAAAATTGTACTGGTCTTTACTTTACCCATACTTGGGGAAAGGCCACGTGAAAGACTGTGTTTAGTTCGAAACACATTCAAGCCATAAGCTTGAGTCTTTCCCTATTGTATTGTAGATTTTTCGTAAATATCGTATCATTGTTACTTTGACCATGTGCCTGTATTTGAACTAAAGCCCTGTATGTTTTATAAACTATCCCCCGCCAAAAATGAAACAATTGGCGAAACATTTTAAAATAATACGTCTAGTTTTGTAATAATACATAAAGAGCGGTGGAAAAAGGTATGGTGATGAAGATATTTTATAAATTGTAAATGTGGTTCCATATGTATATGTATAGTGAATCTCTGAAAAGCACTAAAAATAGTGCAAAACAACAAATTATAACAATCACAGAACACAAGGACGATGAACAAACGAGACCATTGTATTCAAACTCGATTAACTCCATCGATCAATGAATCGATACCGACAAAACAAAAGCAGCTCGTGCCCACTGACCCAGAACCCTTGCAGACTTCGTGATGTATACACAACTGCCATCTGCTCATCCTGGCGTAACTCCCAATCCAACCACAAAGAATAAACAACTGTAACACGCGAAGCTAGGTTTGGAATTAGATTGGTAGTTGTAGCGAGATGTTATCTTTTAGTGTGAGTTACAGAAGCATGTGTGCGTCTGTAGCTCTGTACATGAGTAAACACGATGATGTCATTTCGCTCCGCCTACATTTATTCTGTACATTTTTTACTGTAGGAATTTTGATCGTGACGTCTCTAATTTGAAGGTTCATTTTTTCTTGTCTCTCAGTTGTTGTTTCATTTTGAATGCCGTCTATTTTCCTTTATTTTTGTTCATTCGATTTTATACTCTGAACATTAGCAGTGATCTTTGCATGCAAATAACTATAAAGAAACAAAAACTCCTTTACAAACAATTTTCATTCAAAACCAATCCGCTATTTGCTTTAGGCAACGTCTGTAAGCCAAAATCGACAGTGGCGACACCTACAAAAAAGTTAGCGTAGTAGCTCTACGTAGATATACTTACATAGTTTTAGTATTTGAAAATTCGCAAAGAAATACACAAAATAAAATATTAACAAACACAATGTCATTAATTTGATTAATGTTAGTTCTTATCGATGATGTCATGTCAGGCGGAATAGCAAGGTGCATCATAGCCACTAGAGTCTAAGAGAAGCTGTTTATTTATGTACATATCTGGGTAAACATTATATGCAAGTTACAAGGCTAGCCTTAGCATGAGTACGTGATTGTAAATGTACATAGTGAAGTGACATAACAGGTAGAAATCTTACTTATTGATTAGTAAAACTTCCAATAAATGAGTAACATTTCTTCTTCTTATACCCAATTCTTCCCCCATCTTTCCCCGATCCTTAAATCCCCGAAACCCCTAAAGGATGGCAACGCGGTCCTAATTCATCTGGTGTTACGGGTGTCCAAGGGCGGCGTCGATTGCTTACCATCAGGCCAGCTGCTTGTTTGCCGACCTACGACTATATCGAAACTTTTTAAGGCTCAGTGTCAACGCTTACTTAGATAAGCTAAAGATTCATCGTCATCTTCATTATAATCAGCCAGTTTCCGCGTCTACAGCTGGTCATAGGCCTCTCCAATTGTATGCTACTGAGCTCGAACTTCAGCTCTCAGCATCTAGCTGCCGTTATCCAGTGGATATGGTCACTCCATGTGCAACACCGGCCTTGTTGAACCTTACCAAGGGTGTTCTACTGTATTTTTGATCCGTCACTTCATGTGGCTGGAGGGCGCTCCATACTTTGTTGCCTATACGCGATTCCTGATTCCACCATTCCCTGAACACGTCTACTTATACAGACAGGAAAATATAGGTGATAGGTTATCATTTATTTCCTACATGCCTAAATATTAATTAGCTTAAAAGAAACGTAGTGTTTTCAAAACACATTAATGTATCTACCCATGTAACTACTTACCAGAAAATCTAGAATTTGCATCACACCTAAAAAGGTAGTTCAAGCAATAATCTACTCTATTGCGTTAGTAGTTGATAGTATTCTTGCACAAATTAGGTGCGTCAGTGTAATACCTACCTACTATGTGTCATTTTAAAAATATTCCTTTACAAGCTAAGTAAACTGCGTCATCTTTATTATCTATTGTGGATATGCAAAATAGGCTAACTACACACTAAAATTGGCAAGTTTTAGTTCGGAACTGAACGTGTTTTTTTGGAAAATAACAATTTTGTCAGGGGAAAATGATCTTCGGTATGACTTTATGACTTCGGTAGCCGGGGTTGCTGGTTCAGCGCAATGAGTCACCGCGGCCTCGGCCCAGAGCAGGAGAAGGAACGGGGGGTTTTTAGTCAGTAAGAGTCTGACACTCTCTCGATTTCCCTGGGCGGGACCGGTCATTTGATGAATTTCCCCTGACAAAAAAAAGGTTTCCTTCACCGGAAAGAAATAAATAAAAACTATACAGACATAATTATTCCCTGACCTTGAAATATCTGCAATATTTGTATACATATATTTTCCACTCCTCATTGGAAACGTGCCCTAATCGTCAACTAAGAATCATATACTTTTTGCTAGATTACTATAATGACAATAACTATGGTTATAAGGCGTGACTTTAAATACTTCCTGAGGTATTTACTCATCTGTGTTCATCTGTGATGTTGCTATGCAGAGACAATTTGATCGTCCATGGCACACGAAAGGTTCTGTTCGTTTTGTGACTGGCTGACTGGCTGGGGGCCTAAACTTAGAGTCAGGGATTATTTTGATAAAGTAGTCAACAGCCGCAGCGTGGTCAATAAGTGTGGTGTTATTGTGGTATTTGACAGACCCATTAAAATTTTCAAAAATCGCACTAACCACACAGACTTGGCACTCGACATTGGAACTGTCAATTTAGGCCGTAAATAAGTTCCTTAACAAAATACTAGTTACACCAGCAGACAAAATTGATGGGCCGTTTATTAGACACTGGGCAGTGGGCAAGTAGACATGTGCGTCCTGATGTCCATGTCAATAATTGATAAATATTAATAGCTATACTGTTTTCTACTACCATTAGGATGATATATTACTTACTGCTAATACTTTTCAATAAGACAATGAGATAAAGAATCAAGCTTATTCCTTATGAACCTCTTTGCAGACTCTGTGTTTTTTTTTTAAATTAAGAATGCCAAGTGAATGACTAACAGCTAATTCTTACTACAATCACTAGACCAAAGAGGCGACAATTGTTACAAAATTATATCTTCCACTGAAACATTTTTACTTACTCTAAATAAAAGATTAATAAATAAACTTTCACATTTGTTGCAGTGAATTTATTACGAGTACGTGAACGAGTCTCAGTGCAGAGGACGAAACGACAGACTACAGTCTGTACGAGAGAGCGGTGAGTCATAGAAACTGCTTTGTCTAGTACCTGGAACACCACTAACACTATTCATAATAATGTAAACATTAATACAAACTGTACTGTCAGTTAGTATTTTTGTTTTTTTGGCCTATTCATCATCATCGTCATCAGCCTAAAAGTGCCCACTACTGAGGAAAGGCCTCTTCTCCAGACCATTCTCTTAAGAATATTTGAGGCGGTACGGAGTTCTTTTTATGTAATAGGTCGAAACGAGCAGACGGATTACCTGATTTTAAGCAATCAGCGCCGCCCATAGACACTCGCAACGGTGGAGTTACGAGTGCGTTGCCGAACTTTTAGGGATTAGGGATTTGGAGATTTAGGGATTGAGAAGGGATTGGGGGAGGGAAAGGATTGGGATTACTTGTCTATAGTATAATTTATTAACTTGACGATAAACAACAGTTTGTTGTTTGTGTATTTTCTTTCTAATCCGTGTTGTTTATCGTCGTTGTTATTTTGTTTATCGTCAAGTATATAACCTACTATAATGGGGTAGGTAGTAATTTTAATTCCAAGCATAAAAGAACTAGGAAAAAAAACATCAAATTGTGTTTAATAAGTAAAACTAAAAGTCAATCAATGTCATTTTCATATGAATGCTGTTTCTTGCATCAATTATTATGTGATAAGCTGCACACGCTGCACAAAAACTTCAATTAAGTCTTACAAGAACGTCACATCGTTATATTGTTTTTGATTATGTTACGTTTTTAATTGCTAGAATAATTTTCGCTGTTTTAAAATTCGAAATCAAGTCAACATGCAGCTCATTAAAAGTAGTATTATATATTTTTAAGGTAACATAGTATATAACGTATTTGTTTAACGCATTTATAGATCTTACCACAGAGGGCTCTTAACTACATAGTATAAAACAATGTCGTTTTCTCTATCCCTATATCCGTATGCATTTTTTATGGTATAAGTCGGCAAACGAGCAGACGGATTACCTGGTGGTAAGCAATCAGCGCCGCCCATGGACACCCGCAACACCAAAGGAGTTACGAGTGCGTTGCCGGCCTTTTGGGGATAGGAGTTGCTAAGACTAAGTTGCCACCGGAGAAAATAAAAGTCCCATGTTATAGGGAGCGTGGATTTGCTGTATTAACGGGATTGGCGTACCGTTAATACAGAAAATATTATTTTAAGACCTCCTTTACTTATTCTTGAAGGTGTCGTAAGAGCGAACTAAAGGACTAGACTATAGATGTAGGAAAATTTGTGGAAAGAGACATGTTAGCAGGGTTTTCTGATGAATTTAAACCCTTCAACATACCCAGTAAGCGTTATGGCAACCCCTTCATGGACAAGACATCCTTACTGTCTTAATATTTATTTATCTTATTTTCTTCCTAAAAGCAAATAAAATAATGACATATTTATTGTTGTTGACATTTGACCGTTGAAATTAAGTAGGTATTATCATTGCCATGATCAGCGGTTTCCGTCCTCTCCTGAACGTAGGCCTCTAAATCCAATTCCAATTGTGTACCTGACAAATCCACTGTAGCTAAGCTAGCACATTTCAGGTGAAAACAAAGTTATTTCTCAGTCGTGCCGGCTCGATGCGCGTACGCACAGTTCAACGCACTCCACAATTGATGACATTACTGCCACACGCTTTACAAGCGCATTTCTGATTTATGAAGCTGAAAAAGTAATCGGTCATGTGCTTTTTTCTAGATGAAAAATGTTTAATATCTTAATTTTTTTATAACAACTATCTTCCGTCTGCGTTATGTTGATAAAGTAGCCTGTGTCCTATTCCGGAGTGCCTTTGCCAAATTTCATCCCGATCCGTCCAGCCATTTTGGCGTTGTTGAGTAACAAACATCCAAACATCGTAACTTTCGTATTTGTAATATTACTAAGGTACCTCTTATAAGCTGAAAGTTTCTTAGTTTACTGCTCTGAATCGGAACAGCCTTTCAGCTCAGTAAAAGCATAGACTCTACTATAGTATCGGAAAAAATCAGTTACCTAAAAATATTTCAATCGTTTTAGTACCTACATCGCTTTGTAGTTGCCGTGGCAAAGACGTGAACCAATATTTATTATGGCTTCAATAAAAATAGTAACGCTTAACATGTAGGTACGTAACGTTGCAAAGTAAACATAATAAAAAGTTTATTTATCTGTGCAGCGTTGAACTAAATGGGAGAGCGTTGGGGAATCGGGATGAACTAAATATTTTTAATCTATGGACGTTACGAAATTTTCGCTTCCATTGCGAAAGTTATTAACCGAGCTTTAGGTGATATGTTCGCTTTAAAACATAAACTAAATGTTATATTCAAGATTTTTGTTAGAGAAAATTAATTTTTATGTTAACGATTCACGCTTATTATAATTTTACCTTAAATGAAATTTTTTTTGCTCCTCCTCCTTTTTTTAATTGTAATTAAAAAAATAAAAGAGTTATTATATGAGAGTATTTGTATTGATCTGAATCTCTATCTGACACTTCATATTATCGGGCTGCGTATAAAAAACAACAAAAAGTACGCAATAATCCCGGTTAGTTATTAAGCCTATGCTGCAATAAAAATAGCGCCAAATTATACCTGGCACTAAACTAACGCAGAAGGCTAACGTAATAGTTACTCATAATTGGTCGTTTCCTTTATTTTCAACTGGCTGTAATGAACCAACCAGTTACTAGAAAACTGAAAGACGGCTAGTGTTACTAGATATTCAGCCAATTTCAGGAAATAACGTAACACGGACGTTGTTTTACACACGTTGAAAGGTTACGACTTTTACGTTTTCATTTTTTTAATGGAAACTCCATTTACCATACCTCTTTACATATAGTTTTTAAAACGTTGCCCAAGGATTTTCTTCTGTTGTGGGGCAAGCGCAATAAGACACTGCGCCCTCGGCCTAGAGCAGGAGAAGGAACGGGGGGTTTTTAGTCAGTTAGAGTCGGACACTCCCTCGCGCCTTCACCTTTAGCGAGAGTAATCATTTGATGATTTTCCCTTCACAAAAAAAGGATTTTTCTTTGTAACGTGGGCGCGGAACGTGTCCCGTTTCCTATTCCCATATACATATAACAACTCCTAACAAATTATTGTTCCAAATATGAATTTGTATTGTGTGATGTGTACGAGTTTTAAACGCACAAATGTTAGGCACAGTAAAAATCTTGATGTGGTCTTTTTTCTAAGAATTACTAGGTGGTTTAAGTTTCTTAAACATAGTGATAAAATATGTGTGATTAAAGGATAAAAAGATGGCCGATGTAGCTAATCTACTGACTCATTTAATCCATTCAGTATGAACAATATCGTGCGTTGGGTCGCCAGTGTTGTGACCACCATTTTGGGAAACTAGGCTTAACCTTGTTAAATCGTCTCACGCAGACAAAATGTTGAAAAAACTCGTTATTGAATATGGTATTATGAATATTATGAAGTGACTGTTTTTTTAAGTTTATAGTAATGAAAAAACTAGGCAATACCTAAGTTGGTATTGCCTGGAACACTCAATTAAGTTATAGAATTATTATAATTAATATATAGGTACCCTATATGAGATTCTTGACACCTCAAATGCGCTCTCTGCATAGACTTTAGGTACTTGACTCTAAGTCCATTAGGTTATTCAACTGATTTTTTCTTCAGTAAATCAATAATAATATAATTTAATTTAATTTCCAAATATTCTATTTGAATACATTATTTAGATTTTTTAAGGAATGAGTAATAGGTATTTGGTGTAGCACCCTGTATCTCATAGTAGACAAAACCTCCTTTCGACATTGTCAAATACCATATCTATAGTTTATCATTTATTTGAAACGTTTTCGGAAAAGTATTAAAATTTTTTTTTCTTTGTTTCAGATTAGGGTTCATTGAACCCCTACGACGAAACGATTCGAGATCGGAGCCGAAGAAGTGACTTCTCGGCCCCTCGAAAAATTGTAAATCGCTCGGTGACTGTCTGGCACTAAACCATACCTGCACTATTTCTTGTATAAAAGCCGTACTAAAAACGAAAAAATCTCGACAGAACGCCCTCTATCAGTGGCCACGACAGAGGGTATTTAATTTATGTACATTTTATATATGCATATATAAAAAAGAGAAAAATAGTGATCTCTAACGTGACGTCACAATATAAAAATTGTGATTACCTATTTAAAAATAATTAATTCATTATTATAATCGCTTTGCTGTTTTCAAATCGCATTTTACCGCGTATTGCCCGTTGTATTGTTAGTTGTTTATTTTTTAAATTGTAAATATAAAAAAAATATACTTAATCATAATAGGTGTGACATTGCGTAAAGTAACTATAATACTAGTCATTGATCTAGTGTATTTATTTTGATAATATTCAACTTTGTAATCGATAGAAGATAAACTAATTTTATTAGAGGTTTCTGACTACGTATTTAAAATATCTACAAAAAAACTGAGAGCCTGAGTGCGTCATTAACCAAAGAAGAAAATAAAGCAGTGAACTTTAAAAAAGTAAAAGCCAGTACGTCAAAAAAGGCGGCAATCCGTGGGCTGTACCATAGACTACTAACAGAGAATAGTGCTAGACTCCGTTGTATCGATAAGCACAATCGGCAAGATGCAGACCCAAATCGGTGTTGGTAACGAGCTGCAAAGAAGCTACAGGATGCAGGACTTTGCATCTCCTGGCGTTATCATGCGAGAGCGGAGTTTCATTCGTCCGCAATCCCATCACAATATGCATCATAACCAGGTATGTCTTGTGATGTTGCAATAAAACTTTCTCTTGTAACCTTGAAATTTATTAAATATGCAGATTCAGTCATAACTTCTGTATTTTGAAAAAATATGGATCTTTCAGCATAGATTTGATCATTCGATTGATAGTGTAATGGTTTTATAATGCAATAACTGACTGAGGTTTTTATTATTTAATTAAACTAGTAAGACCTTGGTACCTATATGCTAAGGATTTCTAGTAGGTACGATTGCAGTTAATGCGTAGGTAGGGAGGCAGGTCGCGCCACGCTGTTCCGACGCCTACATCCTGTCTGCATAACTCAATAGTCTTTGTAGTTATTTTGTAATCGATTAATCTTAAAGTCGAGTAACGCATTTATGTTTAAAAATGAAATATAATCTTTGAATTCAAATTTATTTTTACCTAGTTATTAAGTATCTGTACTTTCTAAATTTGGGCGATATTATTGGTAAAAACAAATTAAAATGACTTTGTTATTTCAGTTCAACAATGCAAAACGACGCAGCATGATTCTGACCAACGCTAAAGGGAAACCTACTCTGGAAATTTACAGACCCCCTGGTATGTAGAAATGGATGATCTTATTATAAGTAATTTACGTAGAAAACTATAGGGTCACTTGGTACCAAGTTGATCAATTTTATTGCGAGCCGATTCGATATTGTCTGCTTTTTTTTTAAACGTTGCCCCAAATTAGTAGTTTACTTGTGTGTTATAGTAGTGTACTTGTGTTGTGGGTGCGGTTACAAACATACAATTTCACATACCTACACATTACACCCAGACCCGGAACAACAATTTGTAAATCACACAAAGAGTTGTTCCGTGCGGGAATCGAACCCGCGATACGTTGCACGGCGGCCAATTGCCCAGCCACCGCACCAACCGTGCAGTCAATTACTTAAAATATTCTAGAAATCTATACCGATAGAGCTCACTGCAATGAAATCGTTTAGATAATTATTTTTCTACAACTTTGACGTGCAGTACAATAAATACACTACAATTATCATTAATTTACTCACGTATTTAGAACAATTTCGTTAACAAACACCCTTTCAGTATTCTTCGCACTAATTCTCATAATAATTCAAATATTTATGTAACTCAAATGTAATCGATTTAAATGTGTTGCATAGCGATTCTTGATTTGTCACAGGCTGAATGTAATACTTGGCTAGCTAGCGTATCTACGTAAAATTGGCGCCAAAAATAAAAATAAACAAATTTCATATTTGGAACAGGTCGACAGTCGAATGTTTGTTGCGACGGGACGCGTTTGTCAGACGAATGTTTGTTTGTGATTTTATGTGTTGTGATATAAGTGAGATATTATTATGTCTCGGTGTATCGTGAAACAGTCGTTGTCTCAGCCTGTGGCGGTCGCGCCGGTCGCCCCTGTGGCTCAGGTGTCGCCGGTATCTGTTTCCCCCGTGTCCGTGACTCCGGTATCGGTGTCTGTGACCGTGACTGCTGCACAACCAGTTTCCGAAGCCCCAGGTTTGTTTATATTCAGCTACGACAGCGGTAGTTTAAGTAAATCGCCAAATTATTTACATTGAGCTGTAACAGCACGGACTGTATGCCGGTCGTGAGATTGTTTGAAATCTTTCCGTAATGTCAACATTGAGTCTTGGCGGCAGATGTGTTATTTCCGTCACAAAACATGAGTATTTTGGCGATGCTATACAATGAAAATAATTATAATGTAAATAAAAAAATATATTATTCTTGGCAGTTAGGTTGTGACTTTTGAAAGATGAGCATGTGATTTCGTGGCACAGACGAAGCTGTCTTAACTAGAGTCTACATTTTTGAATTGCGTGACATTTTGTCGTTTGTTCTAAATGTGATGTTTTAAGATGACAGCCTCGCATTTTCACAAATTAACTGAAATAGTTTTCAATTTTGTGAGCAGAGGTGTTGGGGCGATTGTTTCTTTGAGCTCTAGTTATTTGTAGACTCCAGAACATAGGCTAAATGTGCTTCGTTTTACCGGCTCCACAATAGTAGATTGGTACTGCGATGAAGATGCAAAACACCACGTGGACGCTATCCGCTTACCACCGAAACCTCTTCTGATTTTACTGTCCATGATTTTTAACGGTCCTGACAATATTGTTCCCAATCTTTCATGGTCCTAGTCATCATTGTTTACGAAAAGGAAAGTGTCACATATCTGTGGCTGTCGCTAGTTGCTACAATAATTTGAAATCGACTTACTGTCGAAACATGAGTTTCAGCGAATACTGTAAAATACATTGCCAGTAAATCTTGGATGAAAGTTTCGCTTTTGTTCAGTTGAGCGGGACCGGCTCGCGTGTGGCGCGCGATGATCTAGGTTACCCAATTAGATGCACACGCTTACTACATTGGTGGCGATTTTATATAGCTGCTATATACGGCTTGTACTTTTTCAATTTTGGTTTTGGATTAATTGCAGGTTTATTTACTTAGGTAGGTACATTGTCTTGAACCAAAGGCTTCGTACGGTTTCTCCTAAACTCCATTAGGTTGGTATGTTTAGCGTCCACGTGTAACCATGGTTACCTCTTGCTTACACGCTTATCTAAAGTTATCAAACATTTTATTGAGTCTGTCGTCATGATTATTATGAAGACCAAAATATTGCTTTCATCAAAATATTTCTTTTTCATGCTACTGCGTAAAATGACCGTTATAACATGACATTATAATTCATATTGTACAAGATTATCAATTTCTTTTCTTTGAAAAAGAATATTAAACTTATTCCTACTCGCATTAAATCTAGCCGTGAGTAAAATAATAATGGACGTATCTAATTGAAGACCCACATACCAGTCCAAGCTAGCGGCCCACCGGACACCAATCAATCTAACTGTACCTTTACATGCACGGATTTACCAGTAGGTACAGTGAGCTGGTGCACTCAATACACCATTAAATATACTCCTCTTATAAAGATGATTCTGATTTTGAAAACTTAACAAAGAACTGTTCTGTTTGATGATGACATAATCTTGCCTAAAAGCTGAAGCGTATTTCTATGAAAAGTTGCGTCGCTGTCCGAAAATAAATTATATAGTAACTCTGCTAAACATTGTGACTATTTGTGACGCAGTTCCTCAGTAGAATGGTTTATGACTTAAATACGACTGAAACCATTTTGAAGATTATGAGTTTATAATGTTTACATAGGTACAAGGCCACAGGAGTGTACACAGGTGGGTTCATTTGGAAAATTCTAATGTCTACTTTCCCAATTTATCACGCAAATAACACTTTGTTTAAAATATTGACATATGTGGTTTTTGCCATTTTTGTGGCTCGAAAACCGAACGAAATGTAATGTCAGACTCTAATTGGGTAAAACAATTGTCGATAAAACAGGGTTACGATACATTATTGAGCTTGCAACCGTTTCTCTGGTTTTGATATTGACCATCTACGCATCCGTGTTGTATGTTAAACATTACGTTGATATTATAGATGTTTTTGTTTAGGTGTTCTATAATTTAAATTGATTGTGTTCCATGCTACTATTTAGGCTTCGCATCATGTGTTTTGTCAAACATGGTTGAGTCATTTAAGTCAATCGTTTGTTTTGTTAAATTATTTGCGAATTTCAGAGCCTAACTTAGTTAGGATTCAGTATGTCAGTATGTTCAATTCAGTGCGTTCAATGTAGGTTTTGGCAAAAGAGTAGTGAAGGAAGAGGCTGAAACCAACTATTAATCTTTGCTTCTCCTATGAATAATCTAGTACCATCATTATCTTTAAATAGGAATGACGAATAAGAAAATCTTGGGTGTTGTTACTATTGTCGCCTTCTAAAACAAATGAAATGAGAATTCCTATGCCATTTTGTCTTCGGCCAATAGGTTAATAAATCTTATGTATGAATTCTTATAGGAATACAAGTTTCAGGCTTGTTGATCTAGTATTTTCTCAGTATGTCACGGTGTTTTGGCCAAGTTCCATCTGTTCATTCATACGTAAATGTTAGCCATATTCCTTCCGGATAGAAGGGATGTGGTGCCGTTGATACTTAACTACTCCAACGTTTAGAACTCTTCACTTTATCTGTCTAGCTATCACGCCTTGATGACACCGCTATGTTAAGAACGTTTCACAACTATCAAGTGGAGATTGCTTTTCTACATCTTACTGCCTTCCATTAATAACCTAGTACACGACATCTGTCCTATCTCCCTCTTCTCTTGACGACCACCGTTGACCACCAGGTGTCCGCACAGACGGCGTGGCGACCACAGCTGCTACCTCGGGAACGACGACCTCGACCACAGCGGCCACTGCATCCACACCAGCCTCCACCAACAAGCTCAATGTCCACGCTAAGGAGTTCACCATGGCCAAGCCTGCCGACCTGCAAAATAGGTGAGTACTATTTGTAAAACATCTTCATAATCTGAAATTGGAAGGCTATTCATTGAATCATTTTCTAACTATCTTTAAGTGTAAGACAATTCTGTTTTCTTGAATATTATTAATATTAAAAAGAATATAGTCAAGCTAAATTTAAAAAAAACATGATTCATGACGCCATAGAACAATGACCAATCATGATAGTCCTTGGACGCTATTTATAGTGCATCCATTTTATCAACCAACTGCCATGCGGGCTCACTAACCAAGCCTGTATTTTGCACCCACTCTGGGTGATAAAATCGTGTTGACAAGTTTAGCCATAGACCTGCCATAGTCATATCTGTCTAATTGCATTCGCATGATGCGAAGTGATTGTGTGAAACCTTGACTTTGCAGACGATGAATCCATCCATTGTTCAAATGTGCTGAATGTCAAATTATTGATTCAGTACCAACCTATTTTAGCAAACTTATAATTAGATTTGAATTTACTTAAATATTTCTTTCATTTCCTGTTAAAATCACTTCATATAGGTACACTCTATAAGAATTCCGATAATTTTCCGTCGTCCACACGGCTTTTGACCTTGCTCTGGTTGGTGTTGAGTAGTTTGTTTCTCATCAACGATAGTAACGTGACTGGAAGTGATGGCCGATGCTGGCATGGCGCCAACAGAGACAAAACAAAAATCTATGAAATAATGTGTGAAACTGTGATGTTCATGACGCGTTTGTTAGGTACGTACTCGTAGTATCAATTGTAGACTTTTTGTTATCACTTTGTTCTTGGCTACGGCGACGCGAACACGCCCGCGCGCGGGAGACGCGCGGAGTTCCCGACACGACCGCGACCAAACAACGACCAAATTATAACGTGAATCGCGAACGCTTCCGAACGAACTTGACTCGTACACTCCGTATTTTTGAGTACAAATCTCAACAGTGCCGTTTGAGTGATTCGCCGACAAGTTGCCCACTTCACGAGAAGTTTATGCACCGCGCACTGGAAAGTGTAAGCTCTGGATAGGATGTGCGCGGATATTGGATTCTATTAATAAAGTTGTGATGTTAAGAGGGAAATGAGACGTAATTTGTCGGCAGTATTGCCAAGTTTGCATTGAGATTTGCATTTGATGAAGATAGTGATAAATTTTATTGTAGCTCACAATCTAAACATCAAGATTTAAATAAATAGTGCGATGTTGAACGTGATATAGTTCTTTGGTGTGTCCTCTAGTCGAATTGTAAGAAGATTGTTGTGAAAATGGTTCGTGGAAGATATTCAACGTCTGACGTGTAAGTACCAAAACTTTCCGAAACAACATTGTTGGTTAGGCCGCACCGTTTAATCTGAGAATTGTCGGCGCCACTTAACTCAAGACTGTACTCAATTTACGACTTGAATGAAAAGTTCTACCTTGTTTTATGTCCTTAATGGATGATGGTAAATGCGCAAGCGCAGGCGCCAGTACATGGTTGATAGACTACCGCCAGCGCGCGCAGCATTTCATTTGTTTTCATCTGTTGTCGCACAGCTTAGCAGACTGCCTGACCTTGTTCGAAATAAAATGTTGTTTAAATTTAGAAAATGCTGAATTGATAACAGGCTGAACTAGGCTATGAGATGTACATGTAGGTAAATGATGATGAGCTAAAACATTCTTATCAAAAACATCTGTTTATACCTTGGGCCACGATAAGTTTCATTTACAAAGACATTTAATTTAACATACAAGAACAATTATTTACTTATGACTATGTGTTATCATTTAGGTAAGAGCGTAAGTAGGTTCTGTGTCATTTTATTTAGTCAGCAGTGTTAAAGTATTTACAATTATTATTCTCTTTTCATTTACATTGAACACCGACTGATCTTAGTCAAATTTTTTGGACTCGGATTATGTGGGCAAAGGCAGGTTGTCTCATGTCTTAATTTTTTTCCAAAGTTGTCTAGTATGATCGTTTGGTACCATTCTCAAGCTGTATGGGAAGTGCCTAATGCTTCATCAGCAATATAGACAATCCTGAAAACACGTTGTTGTGTGTTCATATTAAAAACATTGTCGATTATATATACTATTAATATGTTGCTATATAGACAAATAAAAAAACTTATTTCAATTAACGAAACACGTGAATATTTTTTGGCATCGTAGAGACAGCGTGGGTTATAAAACTACGTAGCCACTTCCCAAACACGTCGACAACTTCTGCTATTCATTTTTATTTCTCACCACGACGCTCAGATCTTCAAAATTTGTGCTTTTGCTTTTTAACTTGGTTCTTTTCATCAACAATAAGTTGTATCACTCAAACACTAGTTAGTTCCCAGACTAAATAGATTGTATTCAATAGAGCGGACAGTGCAGTGCGTCATTCTCATCATCTTTGGACATCACTCTGTTTGTCGACTTACTCGATCTCAAGGTCACTGTACCGTGTTGCTCTCTGTTTATAAATATGACTTCATCCGCTTAGGTTTTAACCATTTTCACTAATTATTCACGTTTTTCTACTGACTTCTAATTTATTTCAAACGTTCGTAACTTTCCTAAACACAATTTGGATCATTAATAACAATATAATTTGTGAAGACATCGAAGTGATGTACCGTGGAAAAATTGCGCTGGTGCCGGTGCGGTGGCGTGCAATCTTATTGGTTGTGAGTCACGGCATTCTGGCTGCAATATGAGCGGGTCGTGTTGGATGTCTTGTTTATATGTAATTGCCTCAGTTATCCCACACTGACCACATACATCAGTATCAACTATCTGTTATGACCCTTTACGTAATGTTTGATCGATTGTTTGGACGATGTCTGCAACCGATGTGAAATAGCTCCTGTGTCGTCTATTTTGTCACATTTTTGACCTAGTTATTCATTAATCAGCCTTATGTGTGTGTGTGTGTGTAGGTTGTGGTTATGAATATATTTTGATGCATTTGGGCAACATATGTGCCTAAACTTTTGGAGCTGCAAGTTTTCAAAATGGAATTGGGTTTGGGTTATGTAGAAATGTTTTGCAATTTCCCTGAAGGTTTTCTTCCTACCTACTTCAATTCATTTCTCATCACTCTCCATTTTACAACATATACTAAGTTGCGATTAGACTCTTCGTCTTCCTCAGTTCAGTGAAGAGTTTATTTTCATAGGACCTTGCAACTATCATCTACTTATTTATTTATACATCTTTTTCAACATAGTGCCTCACTTTCGTCTTGGACCACTTGAGCATTCAGTGAATTAAATATGTCGAAACTGCTATAAAATTGAAAGCATTTGAATTTTCTTTGGCAGCTGACTTCGTAAACCAAGAACTTCCTAGATTTAAATATTTTAATGTACTCATGATGAGTGATAAAATTATTTTAGTGTACTTTAACATTTCTGGTCGTCTTGTGGTTGAATAAATGGCGTATCTGGTGTGGTTTAAAAAGATTTACCAGTGACATAAGTCTTAATACTTTCTCCTCGAACAAACAATGCGTCTTTATTAGCTCGTTCATTTAACTAAGCGTGTTGATTAAATATAAATCGTACAGATTGACACTAAAAAGAATTAAATCATTTTACATGTCGGATAAGTAATATAATATATATAGTAATATATACGAGTATGATTTAGACTAGAAACTTTTTAGACACATATCGATTACGTGTTATAATGCATTCATTGGTCGTAATAGAAAGTTGAGGAATTGGAAGAAAACTGCCAACTAAGTATCTGTTTCTAAATTTTCATTTTACTTATACCGTAAAAACTAATTTGTACCTAGTCACAATTTATTTTATTAACACTTTTCTCAGTTAAGTTCGTGGCCTTTCTGACTAACTTCGTACAGTTTGTGTAAAGAGCATTTTACATGCATAACTTACTTGATTTCGCAAAAACCCCGGGCATTCAACTTCACTTGTTGAGATACATCACGTGCTTCCAGTTTGCGGTACAAATTAGATAAATACTCGGTTGTGAAGCGACAATAGAGTGCAGCGTGGACAGGACACGCCACTTGTCCCCATTCTGTGATGTACACTCATCGCTGACATCGCACCGGTTATGAAACACTGCCTCTCTAGACACCTTGTCTGTGTGTCACTAGTGGAAATAGGTGGAACTTCAAAATACCGTAAAAGGAATGTAGTTAACTAATATCTCAGGTTTGATGTAAAATGAGTATAAATTCTTCATTGGAGTATTGGAGGAGTACGTTAGAGGAGTATTACCTAACCCTCACTTACACCAATATCTTTTTCTGATTTCGAAGGTAGAAAATAATTCAAAAAGACGATTAAGTAGTATTATCTGCTTCCATAGAGATGCTGCATTTACAATTTCATACTCTGTGTCAAATTGAAGTTCATTGACTCTGTTGTCTAAATTGTCATAAAATAAAACGTATCTGCTGTTCAACTATTCAAACAAATGGAACAGTTTATATATCCTACGTCATTTAGGCGATTCATTGAACTATTGAAAAAATCAGGATGTAGGTACCTACATAAGTAGTCAAAATGTTGAATCTCATTATTAAAACATCCACGGTAACAATATCGTATGGTGTAGAATGCTTATGTATAATCACAATGAGTTCATCATTAATCCTCGCCATCATTTCCTATCATAATGAAATAATTTGCGTGGCATTGCGCAGGAGTGGAGCACCATAACGGGCTAGTGCGCGCGGCATCACGACAATGATCACTTATTATTTATGAGGTTTATGTCCATTGCCAGTGGCTATAAGGCACGCGCCATTGTCCACCATGAATAACAATCGTTATGGCACCACCATTCGGCACTGTTATGATTAATATATTAGTTTTAACTAGACGTTTCAACAGCTTTAAAGTTATTAAAGTAGGTGGCTTTTCCTCGTCATCATTTAGTTTTAACAAAACAATATGCTGTTGTAAGTGAGATGTGTGAAACAATGTAGGTAGTCCAGTAATGGCACACTGCATTTGAATATGAAAGAACACAATACGTCAAAGTTGACATCACCTAGTTCATTTATGTGTAGCTTGTGCACCGGTGCAACTTGTTCTGCATATTAATTACCTCCGCAACAGGCACCAACATTCATCGTAATAAAAACATGACATTATAAAACTCTGTATGGATTTGATCACAGGAGGTTGGAATAATCAGAAACGGGAATATAACGAAAATTAACTCTCGCGTTACTGCTAAAGCTTTGAACGTGCTGCCAAAGATTTATTTATTTTAAAGGGAATAATTTTCCTTACTACATTTGGCCATAAATTACAAGTGTCTATAAATTGAGATAGAAATAGTTTGCTGTGAATCAGAGTATTAACAGTACTGTTTGAAACTTACGCTGCTATTTCATCAGATTGAAATGTTCCTATTATCAAGCATTATTCCACGAGAAATGAATGAAAGTAGTCAATTATAAATTGGTGGTGGCTATTTAACAGATTTTGCTTTAAGTCTAATTTTAATTGATTTTGGAGAACTGATAAAAATCTTTAGGTTTAGATTTGGTTATCTACGTGTATCTACGTAAAAGTTATAAAACTGGCGAGTGACTTGTCTAGCAAGCGATCCACATTTTATGTAATTTACTTCAATACCGCTGTTGATTTTTCGCGATGCTGTTAATCTCGTGTGATATGTACTCAAATAACATTAACGAGCGCGGCTGGCATTGTACTAGATAAACGATCATGTCGTATTGTCGCATTATAAACATGACATATATTACACGCACATAATTATCTTTTACAAACATTACATAAAATACACATTTTCTTACGTTGAAACATGTAGACGCGCGGAAATTTTAAGCGTCACATCTGCTGGTCGTTATTGGTCCATGATTTCACTTGGACTTCCTCATCTTTCAATGCGTATATGTATAGCCGTTCTTATAGCCTTGTGCAATTAAGCATTCTAGGTTCATACCAGCTCTATTATGTATTATTTTTAAAACTTTTCAGTAGACAGTCTTAACAAAATGGCATTTAGCATCATCTTAAGTTCTGACTGTACCATAAATTATTTCAATAACGGCCAGTTTTACAGTGGATACTTTGCATCACAGGCCATCACGTCATAAAGCATTAACACACATGTTATAGGGTTGGTTGTAAAGTGTGTATTGTGTAATGTTACAGGCCGGCGATGGGCATCGGCTACGCGACGGTGGGGCTGCAGCACTCGCGCTCAGCCGTGCTGCACGCGCACGTACCGCCGCACTACCGGCCCGTCATGCCGCCCCACGCACTTCTCAACAGCGCCTCCAGCGGGAACGTGCCGCATGCACAGGTAATTACTTACTTTGATGTTGGCAATTGGTGGTGATACAGGTGATCTCTGATCGCGGTCTTCCTCTTCAAACTAAACCCTAACTTCTTTTTCTTGATCTCTGACCAACTTTGTTGTTTTGATGTAGAAAATGAAGCTGGATGTCAATATTTAACATTGAGCAGGTAGTTAACTGCCCTCTAAGACATTGACAATTTATGAAATCCCGTGATATGATAGGATTGGGAACTATGCCTGGCACCAGCCTCGTCTCCTTTATTACCAGTCAAAAAATTGGGGTCAGGTTTTGGTATAACTATCATAATGTGCCTTTGATAATTTTTTCGGGGGATGAAAGGTTCAAAGTAATTTACAACAAATTAGAAATGTTCCGCGTTCAGTTTAACAAATAACACGCAAATAATGATCAAATGGCATGCTTTCTATGGCATTATTAAAATGTCCAGTAATTAATAGATGCAAGCATGTCTATAGTGTAATCTCTTCATCTTACCCACCATCCGATCAAAAGATCAGCTACTAACTAATTATGAAAATTGAAAGATGTTTGATGTGCCGTGTTCCCATAGATATCATTGTTTGATAGGTTGCCTAACAGGTCTTGCAGATTACTAGACGCTTGTTAACTATGAGAACTGAAACACTATTTACGATGCATTCATAAATCGAATCCAAATAGTCTGGTACCGATTGGTAATTCTAAAACGTGAAGTTCCAAATAATGGCGATGTCTTAATACTTGATACCGTGGCAGCTTTGTGCCATTGGTGTAGTCACTAATTTAGCATTTACGGCGATGTAATTATTGATCAGAGTGTCAATATTCTTTAAATCGCATCTTCGCTAGACGATGGAAGATAGTTAATATAGGTTATACATATATCAATCTCCTACCTACTGGTTTAAATTTATCAATTAAACTGTTGTTAATATATCGAGCAAGGCATAAGGCATAAACACTTCACACTATGGCTAAAAGGAACCGAACAGCGGATGAAACCGTGCGAGGAGTAGCTAGAGTTAAAAATTATTAGACCATTAGACAAGTAGTCATTAAGATCAGTATTGGAAACTCAAGATTTCAGATGTAGAGCGTAACCTTATATTTTTATGTATCTTAACAGGTTAGTAATTGCTCTGAGTAAAACACTAACATCCATATATGTTTTTGGTTAAGGGTAAGCTTCGGATTGGTGTCGTCCGGTCAGCGCTGAGTCCAAAGCATGTCGGTTACCTTATTAGGAAAGAATCATACTAGACACAAACGTCAACAGAGAAGCACTCTAGATTATTTCATATAACATTACAGGTGGGACCTCGCGTCCACTTCAAGCTCCAACCACAACAAGCGATCATTCCGGAGAAGAAGAAGTCTCCGCCTTCGTCCCTGACGAATGGCAATGGCAAAAGTATTCGGCCACAGTCGTTTACTCCAGGTCTCAAACGCTCCAAGTCGCTGACGTCGGCTGATGCGCTGGCCAGCGGTATGGCAGCATTGGGGCTCGCAGCCGACGCAGGCGACCTCGGCAACTTCCCGCCTGAAATACAGGAATGCATCGATAAGGCTCTCGAAGGCAAGTATAAAGTTAAATTTGTTTCGAAGAGGTATTTATTTCTTTCGACGTTTCCATTTTAGGTTGGATTATGGATATCGGTTTCAAAATTAGTAGGAGTAGCAACAACTTCAGGGATTTTGTACGAACCTCTGATCAGGATCTTGAGGTGTAGATTCACTTAGGTACATCCAGAAGTTTCTCGCAATAAATTCAACAATGCTCATAGCTTCATTGGAGTCAATTATGTACGCAAAATTGGTACTTAAGTTTGACGGTTTGAGGTTGATCTATGAATTAGAGTTAACTATTTTGGTGGAAGTAAATAAACTTTATAAGACCCCTGAAATTGACCTGCAATCTGTTCTTCGATGACCTAATTGAGAAACATGACAAAAAATTCGTTTATAGCTCATTAACACCAATTACGGCCGCAGAATTGATAGTTTAGCTTTAACGTTTATTTTGACTACGTATTGTAATGCTTGGTGGTGGTGGTGGTCCCCTCAGACCCGAACGCAGTGTGTGCTCGCACGCTGATGGACGCGGTGGGGCACCTGGTGTCGCGCGCCGTGGAGTCCCCGCGCTACGCGCTGCCGGCCGCGCGCCGCTGCATCGCCGTCGTCGAGCGCGAGAGCACCGAGACCTTCCTCGAGTCGCTGCTCAACACCTGCCAGCAGTGGTACCACGACCGGGACAAGGTAACATCATACTCACTACAGTCTTGTATACGATTTCCCTGATAAATCATTGGGATTGTTTTCTTAGTAGGTATTCTTTCTATCACATAGGTTTTGAGATAGTTTTTGTTTGTTTAATAACGTGTGCTTGTAACTGGTATCAGTTGCTCGGATCGACGGTGGGCGGCGGTCGGCCCCGGCTGATGGCCTTCCTGTCGTTCCTGCTGGAGATGTACTGCCAGCTGCGCCGGCGCGCCATCCAGCGCCGCGGCGCCTCTGCGCAGCCCGGACAGGTGCTGCTCACACTCATCTGCAAGTGCTGCGAGGACTGCATCCGCCAGCCCGTGCCCTCCGCCAGCGATGTGAGTAACTCTAAGTGACAGCCATGTTTCACAACTTATAGATTTGAGAGATGATCTCCGGTCACCGTAAGCTCAGGTCTGTGGTTGGCGAGTAAGGGTAGTTGACCAGAAGCTTTATAAGGCTGACGAAAATTGATGGTTGTCTACCTCAAAAAAAAATATGTTACAAATTATTTGGCTAGCATTCGAGTCATTTGGGAACTGGAAACAAATGAAGTCAAAATTGGAACAAGTTTTTTCAGCACAGTTGACCTGAACTCGTGGTGCAATGTTGAGATAGTGTTGATTAAGTGTGATGTGTACACAGACGGAGAACCTGTTCTTCGTGCTGACGTACATCGGGCGCGACCTGGAGTCGCAGCTGCCGGGCGAGCTGGAGCGCCTGCTGTCGGCCGTCCGCGACGCCTTCCTCACGGCCGGCGCCGCGCCCTCCATCCGCCGCACCCTGCTCCAGCTCATCGAGCTGCACGCCTCGCGCTGGCAGCTGCCGGGCTGCGCCGTGCTCTACTACTACCCCTCCTCCAAGTGAACACGCTGGCCCTTGCACTGCACGCACCCGGAACTGTCGCCTTCTACGTCCATAATGGAGAATGTCCCTTGACTTAGCGAGTACTGCGGCGACTCTTGGTGGTGGTATATATTCGGTTTCTCGTAAATTGCTCGGAGTATTGTATTTGAAGCGGCGACAAACCTTTGATAGTGGGCACCGGTCCCCGAGCCTGCCGGGCCCGCTCCAGAGAGTACGGTATTATTCTGTAGGGAATAATAATATTAGATTAGTATACAAAGGTTACAAGCATTTCTTGTAGTGTTTGATTTGTTTCTACTTGACCTTCTTAGCGTTGCGTTAGTTGTACAGGAGGTCTTCTTTTGTTGTCCCTTATACGTATCGTAGGCATGATGCTGCCATAAGCTCATTTATTGTGCCTTTAAAGATTTTAGTAGTGATAGACACGTTCTCCGCGCTCTCGAGACATGAAACAATATTTAGTAATATTTATCGGACGTAAGACGCACTCGGGAGCGCGGAGCGTAGCAATTAAACTGTAAGGTGTAGTTTAGCTTAAGGTGGATTTAGTAAAGCAAGATATGCCTTGAAAGTATTAAAAAGTACGTGTAACATAAGTAGTAGGACAAAACGACGATGTACGTTACTGTACGTTCTTCGCATAGTATTTGGTGCATTGTACCCTTTGTCGGTCGTGTGTAAGTGTAGTGTCGCCATCTATGCGTAGCGCTTGTAGTTGTAGCCCCTAGTACTAGCACGGCCCGCACTATACGTTATGCACTCTGCTCCTAGTTTATTCCCCTTAGCGTAGGTGACCCAATTATGGAAATGATCATTCTATTTAAATTGTAGATGAATCTTATCAGCTTTCTTACACGAAGATCATATGAATGTATGACTGAACTTCCTAAGTATGAAGTGTTTCAATTTATTATGCTTGTGATATTATAAATTTAAGTTATGTAATCTCTGATAATATCTCTTCTGTCCTAACCAAAGACTGTACTGACGGTGTGGAGATTCATGATATTATTAACAAAGTGTAAACTGAATGTTGTTGAAGCTGGACCAAATTATGTTCGTGTGTCGCCGCTGGCTCTGTACCCGTCGGCCACACAACACTTCAGTGACTATTGTAAGTTCATTTAGTTGTAGCACGTACGCCCTACGTCTGATCACCATTATCAAACTAATGATTTTTTTTATATTAGTTAATTACATTATAATGGAAAAGGTTAAAAGACCATAAACTTTTCGTTATTACTATGCATTCGTAGCAATATAAGGTAATGGTATGTTTGTAGAAAAGATGAAAAATAAAAAAAAATGGTGCTAACAAAAATATTGGTGTATTGTATATTATTTTAATAGAATACGGGCAATAACATTGTTCTCGTTACCGCTATAATTTTGTACGAATAAAACATAAAATGATATATAACCAATAAATTATATAAATAAAATCTAGTGTTTTATTTTAAACTTAATCAAAAGTCCCCTCCGATTTAGTAACAAGTGTGTTGTTATTTTGTTGATTTTAATAAAAATTTAAAAAACCGATTTAATTCTTATTTTCATTAAGTTCTGTAACAGTGTGTTCCCATCGAGTAACAGTGTGACTGGTTGGGATTTTTTTCTGAAGAAATTCCCATCGAATAACAGTGTGACTGGTAGTGTGACCGGTTGGGAATTTTTTCAGAAAAAAATCCCATCGAGTAACAGTGTGACATTTGAGGGTGTTACTCGTTGGGAACAAATGGTGTGCGTTAATATTTTTTATTCAGATTAGGATCAGCTGTTTGAGATTACAATTTTGTAAGCGATTTAGATTTCACTTGTTTTGAGTATAAAGTCTAAATGAATAATAAAATAAGGGCGATTGAAGGGCTAACGTTTTTAAAATCATACGCTGTAGTATTCCACATTACCATATGACTTCTCGCTACACTACCGCCATCTGGTCAGCGTCAAATCATTATTGGTTCCTCATTCACCGCGGTTCCCTATGTGATATGTTATTGTGTGACATCTTTGTCTAGTTTCTGAACAAGTTCTTATTCAATTCCGTTTAGATCTAATTTGGGGCATCCTGGGAGAGTAAAATTGTTCCAGGGTCAACGAAATATAGCAAGGGTTTGTTCGTTAAGTAAACTTGACATAGGACAAAATGTAATATAATTGTCAAAATATGCAGTAGTTATTTATACCAGTTGATGATGACCGCAACTACTACTGTAAGCGTCAGGACCCCTAGACCATTAGCTGGGGCTGCGGGGTAAGCGCAATGAGGCACCGCGACCTCGGCCCAGAGCAGGAGAAGGAACGGGGGTTTTTAGTCAGTAAGAGTCTGACACTCTCTCTCGCCTTACCCTGGGCGGGTGAAGTCATTGGATTGGATTTCCCCTGACAAAAAAAAAACTTCCCGCAGCACACCTAGGTGGTCTCACGAGGTGTACGGTGGGCTGGGCAAAGAGCGAAAAATAATAATAATTTGTAACTTCCTAATTTATCTTAAAATTTAAAACTTGATTAATATTTTTAGGATTATGGATAGTTTTATCGATTATGGTTCATCAATAGCAATAAGTAGCAATATCGATGTCGACATATAAAATACTCATCACTAACTTAGGTACCTATGTCAAAATTTGTAACAAGCGATGCTAGCGCTTTGCGCTAACGAGTGATAACTAGTAGCCAAAAAGGCGTCCCATCCCATCTATCTCTGACTTGTTCAATGTAATCTATACTTTGTTAGAAAGCTGTAGAGTTTGTTTGTTTGAATGCGCTAGTATCCGGTAGAATTTAACAATTCTTTTTTTGTTTGTTAGTCCATTTATCGAGGATGCTATTTGCCATAAAACATCTGCTGCTCTCCGTGGGAGCCAAGCAGCGGGTAAAACCGCGCGAGATTAGCTAGTTTGTGATATAATGTCACCGGTGCTGACTTGTTTATTACAAGCCTCCATGTAAAATTAACGGAAGATTATTAATTGTCACTTTAATCAAGGAATTAATTATATTCGGGAAATGGCAACAGGGTAGTCCCTCGCTGAATACACGTCGAAATGTTGCGTATCATTGTGTACTTAGCTATAAATACATATGGCAAAGTATTTTTAATTTTCTAAAAACGTTTGTATTACACTATTTGTGAGATATAATTATTAGGATATTTATTATAATGAAAAGAAGATGCATGACATAAATATTATGTAGGCTTTCTATGAAGCTAAAAGCTTAGTATTTAAAATTTAAGCATCTAATAAAAAAGGAATACGTCTCTTTCCAGTTTGACAGCTATAAAAACGCCTAGAAATTATCGAAGTAAGTATTATGGTACGAAAGGGTTTGCACTATTGTTTTTGATTTCGTTATGTTATTTGTGTGAAATAAATCAATCAAAAGCAGGTAAGGTAAAAATAATCATTTTATATCACGCAAAAATATTTTTTTAAATCTCATTATTGATGTGTAGTTTCAGAACGTAGAATGATTCTGATTGGACGCGCTTATCAGTCGCTTCTTGCTAACTTCACGTTACTGACAGTTCATACTTCATACGTTTAGCTCGGCCTTCGCCCTTCGCTCGAGTTTGCTTTGTTGTTGCCTGCAGTTGCCGACGAACTAGTTTTGCGCCTTGCCGCGACCGTGTGATGTGACCTGTTGATTTATTTCTCATCGTGTTTTGTGCTTTTGTCTGTGATAAAAATGACATGATGCTGTTTAAAAATGTTCTAAGTGGTGCGCGTTAAGTGTTTGTGTTCAGTGTAAAATGGGTTTGATAACTTCAAGGGAGCAGACAATGTTGGACGGTCCGGTGGCGTCGGCGAAGAGCCACCATGTACGGCAGCCTTCGACTAGGAACCGGACGAAGCCTCCGATGCCGGACCGGGATGAGTTGGAAAACCGTTTCGTCAAAGTTTTGGTAAGTGTTGGCACCAAATTTTGCCGGCATTATGTTTACAAACATAACATTGTTTACCGTGTGAACGGCAGACGTTACTTTTATTACGCGACTGCGGTACTCGCATCAATATTTAAACAATTCCTTGTAAACAATTATCTAAAAGTAGTAAATATTCGTCAATAATAATATCCGTTGATGTTATAGTTCCGAGGAAATGTGCGGTGTTAGGCTAATAATAATAGTCACATGTGGTGCAAGGGTGGGTCTGGTCTAAAGTGCAAGCATGAAATTCAAAGGGATTCTTATTTGTTTTTGTGAATGTAACGATTTTATGTTGTAAGGGACCAGTTGCTAACATTTGCGTGTGATTCTCAGTAGTAGTTAAAATTATAAATCGTAAAAGTGAGCAGTCTGTCTGTGTAAACTTGTACAGTTTCCTGCCTTTGTTGTATTTTCCTGCAGCATTGATAATTAATAATATAGCTATTGAACCTGCTTATAAATATAGAATCTATATTAAATCATTACAATAGACACCACATTTAATATTTTCATAATATTACATTTAGTTCAGTAGGTATGTATATAAATATTTATAAATAAACCAAATTAAAATATTCAGTGTAATGATTGTGGATGTGATCACTTAGATCTTAATCTGATTGATTCAATTTAATTAAGTTGAAAAATGAGAAACTTCCTAAAATTTGTTTATCTTCTTGTTCTCATTCACTAAGTTATTTTTTTTTAGGTATAAATAAGATATGTTGTTTCCAGTCAATTCTTATTTTCTTTAATAATTACATTTGCAATCATTTATTTGCTTTAAAAGAAATGCATATTCTTTGATTTTTATACTTTTTTAAATATCCTGTATCAGTTAGAAACAAGGTACCTACATAATTCTTTTTTTAATTCAATTACTTGCTAAGCACAGATAAAAAATCACTGTAACACAATGATAAAGTTGACTATTGTCTGTTGACTTCATTATCATTCCTATTTCAAAACATATCACCCATTTCTATCTTAAAGTTCCTGACACAAGCAACATTGTGATAAGACAAAATGAAATGTTTCATTTCCTGTTTTATCAAACATTTGTCATGTTTCTTGGTTTTATTTGTGTTGTTTGTTGATTTGTTATTTCCTGGTACTTGAAACAACTAGTATCATTGACTGTTGACACATTTCTAATATTATTAGTATACCTAGATAAACCAAAGTTAGTAAAACTTTGATTTATTATCTTGTGTCATTAAATACTGCTCTTAATGCTTTTAAAAATCATGATAGCAATTATACGCAACCTGCAATAAAAAGCCAGTCTTAAAACTGATCCAGTTATATTTAAATTAGAAATCTACTCAACTAGTTACAATTTGATTGACCGTTATAAATATAGTATAGAAAAGGTAGAAATTGACATCCTTTATTAGTAAGAAGGTTTAAGTAATGGGTGTTTATTAGGTATTAAAATTTAATTAAAACCTCTTTAAATTAAGTTAGGTAGATCCTATTATTTTCATTCATTCCTAGTCAATCCAGAATTGTGTCCTTTAAAGGAATGCAGTACTAACAATTCTGTATTTTTATTTGTACCTTTTAAAATTATTATAAAGAATTTTTAAAAGAGTCTAATTGGACTATGCTAATAGTCAAATGGCCAATTGCCAGTTGCTTCATTAGTTTTCTGAAAATGTTCATAAATAAATGTAATCGGAAAATCTGCCTGGTATGCGGTAATTCCCTCACCCCTTATAACATGAGACTCATAAGGACAATGGTAGGAAATTACCCATAGATATCTGTTACAGAACTGTAGGGAATGAAGTTTTTATGTTATTTAAAACAATACATTTGGATCAAAAATATTAATTTAAAACACAAACTAGATATGAAAATGCAGTTTGCAATTATTTTTAATTACGTCCAGAAAGAACACATAAACATTCACTGCATTTTAATTAGTGTTACTGAGTTTGTAAATGTTACATGATGTGTGAATGTTGTTAAATGTTTGTAAATGATGTATAAACTGTGTTATGTTTTTTATTATTAGTTCAATGTTATGACCTTCGTAAACACCATTTCCTGTTACAAAAGATAAGAGTTGCAGATAGCCAAAACAGGACTTTAGTCATGATAAAAAATTGTATTCTGTGCAACACATACATACTTTGTTTTTATAATAACTATCGTGAGACATACTAAATTAACTAAAATTCGCGGGTTACTCACGTGTAAATGGATGGTTCGAAACTAGTAGAGCTTTTCTCATCATTTACACGTGAGTAACCCGCGAATTTTAGTTAACATACATACTTATTATGGTAAATATTGCTGATTAAGTTTGTGCACACTGCACAATTTAAATAAGATTCATTATTGACTGACTCAAAAAAGGTGGAGGTTCTCAGTTGGCATGTGTATGTACTTACTTAACTATGTATGTTTTATAAACTTAATGCTTGGGAAAAGTGAGTATTCTTAACCAACATGTTATCTTTGCATTTAATTGTGAAATAGGCTCCTTCAAATACAATATACATTGAAATGATTACCATTCAATATCGTTAATCTTACACAAATTACGGGCGTACGAGTGTACATTGACGCTACGGTCGGGGGCTGCGCAGGCGCCGTTATCGCGCACAGAGCCCCATTGATGGCTGGCTATTTCTGTGCTATCAACACGAGGATATTGTGCCCATCGCGTATATCTACACGCTTGTAGTTTGTATAGAAATTGTATTTTTATTGAGAAAACGTGGTTTGTATATAGTTGAGTTACAAAATATATTAATGAATAGATTGTAAATAATTACTTATAGGCTATCAGCTTGCCTAAACCTACTTGTTTTAGAAATTCAGAAATTATTTCACCAAAATTGTTTATTGCTTTACCAGCAAAATTTGTTCAGCTGTGACCTTCCAGGGTATGTCATTATACAGACGCATGTTAGTCATAATTGTAACGCCGAATTAGTTTCATATGCTACACGCCTTGTCTAATGAATGAAGTACCTACATACCTACTTGTGAATATGAATCATGTTACGTCTGGCATTATTCTAAGACTTCAAATTGAATGTAAGTAATATAAAAATAGTTATTCACTAATGCTCTTGCGTGGAAAATAGGGTTGAGTAATAAATCCTAGAATTATCTATCAATTAAAGGACTTGTGGCAATTCCTGTAAGCATTTTAGAATATGAATTAGTATGTTTTAAGAAAAATAAAGAGTAATTTCAACACTAACTACGAAACAAATGTATTCTCCAATTTTTACAAAAACGACCAAATAACAAAAGGGTCGTCAGTAATCGACCCACACAACTCGTAAATATTCAAGCTGTAAGGGAACTGACCCCGATGACCTCAACGATTTCGTTTATCAATCCGACTTTGGATAGCACGAGCCAAATCAACGAAAGTAAACAAAGGTTGGCGATTCCTTATGCTTCACATAAAAACAGGAACTCTTCATTAAGGCAAGGTCATTCGGGCGAGTTTTTAACAAGTAAATGACAGCAAGTGAGTCATTGGAGCTGGCCGTTTTGAAATAGGGTCAGTACAAGGCCTTGGGAGGAGCAATCAACGTGTCATTAACTCATTGGGGTGATGGGTGCCAGACCGTGTAGCTGATAGGCGTTGATTATCATTTATTTGAATATAAAAGTACATTTTTATTCAGATCGACAGCATTGATAGTCAGATGTTTCGAATTTTTTATGGTTTCAATGCACCTTGTCAGAATCTTTAATCCATATTAAGCAGGTTGTTGATTTATTCGCTTACATCCCTCCTTAAGTTTCTCTCTAAATAGTAATGATCTTGTAAGTATGTAATATAAATTTTATGTTGCATTTAAACCCGATGATAGCTTAGTTAAACCAGTACCCTGTCATTCCATAACACAACACATGCATATTACTTTATAGATCTTATCGATTACTTTCACCGTGTAACTGACATCGTAAATTGTGCGCCTGATTTGATTGAAACGGATTTTTATTAGCACATACAAATTTCAATAATAAATAGGCATACATTGTGCTCTATGACAAGAACATTATTTGAGTAGAAGAATTATCTATTGATAGAGTAATTTATTGGCCTGTCTAGAAGAATTGGTTATTTGTGCTTGTCCTAATTTGTCGATTTTATTGAATCAACTTCTGTTGATCTAGTAAGTATCCATTCATCTAACGACTAATGTTTGTAGTAATATGTATTTTGTACTTGTATTAGCCTGCAAATGTAGTACCTGAGTACCTAACTAAGCCCTAACTAGGCCTTCAAACCGCTACAAATGAGGCTAACAAGAGAAGGGACGGGGTGGTTTTTAGTCAGTATGAGTGTAATACTCCCGCCCCCTCAAAAAAGAACGGCTTAGCCTGAGATACTCAAATCATGGCGTCCACTAACTAAATCCACATAAAAAAAGTTCAATCGGTTTTAGTTTATCGTTAATTAGACAGATGTTTTAGGGGTTGAAGGAATGAGTTTTAAGACTCAGCTAATTCCTCAAGCCGATTAAACTCAATATTGTCCTAGAAATAACTGCAATCCTGTGATCACCGCATTTATAATACAGGAATCTGCACTTCACAAAGAACAAACAACTGCTACGTACTTCTATTGATGAAATTTCAGTTCTCTCTCTCTCTCTCTAGTTTCATATTTTAATATTTTTTCGTTTGCGGGTCTTAATTTATGGCTTGACAAACATTGGATCGGCGATGACCTCTAGTCTTGCCTCTGTCATCATAACTCATTATTATAACTAAGTACTATCACAAATCGTAAGCCATCTTAATTATTATCCATGGCGCCTTTGTCAACCGTTTGATTAGTTTATAAACGATCTTATTATGCATTCATTGTATTACTGCTATCTTTAATTAAATACGCATCATGTTAGTTAAGTGGTAGGTATGTAGAATGACTAAGAAGATGAAAATAGTTATGGCCGTGGCCCTTTGTATTCTTTATCGTATGTTTTCTGAACATC